GTACCGGAATTACAAACCAAGGATTGAGGTTCAAAACCCCCTTTTTTTAGAACTATCATAGAGTGGAACTCACTGTCACCAAGTAGAGTAGGGTCATCTTTACTACATAGCTTTAAACAAAATCAAGGCAAGGTGTAACAAATCCCTTGGTATAAATTAGCAAGCTGGCCACACCGCATGCCTGTGAAGCTGGTGTGTTACGCCGATGGGCAGTTCTGTATCTGTATCTGTATAGCCCGTATAACCGCCCTTCGGTGTAACACACCAGCTTCGCAGGCACGCCGCGCGGCAGCAGCTAGCTATATTACACCGAACGACTTGTTACACTCCATCTTTGCACATGTAATTGCAGGAGCTTTCTAGTGATGATGCCCCAACTATGCTTGGTGGCAATGAGTTCCAGTCTACGATAGTTCTGGGGAAATACGAGTTTTTGAACACCTCAATTCTTGGTTGATTACTCTGATATTTGAAGGCATGACTGTTTCTCGTTCTTTTCTGGGCTGGTATAAGATACTTAGTTTATTAGTCATATAATTGTACATCATGCACAGTCTGGACATTCTACGTCTGTCTTCCAGCGACCCCTACTGTAGGTTTCTTTTCATTTCCATTACACTAGCACCTCTTTGATAGTTATTCATGCAGAATCTTGCAGATTGGTTTTGTACCCTTTTCAGTTTATCTTTGTCTTTCTTTGTATATGGATCCCATACTGAACAACAGTTATACATGTACATGTACCTGCTATACTGAATACAGATACCTGGCAAGGATAGTAGAGGACGATGACGAAACATCCCACTAGTGAAGCTGGACCAATCAGGTACACGCTGTAGCAAAGACCCAACACAAAGACTACCGGGGCTTGGAACATGAAGATGAACAAAATTGTGGCTTCAAACACCCGCTGGCCATCATTGGCACACAGATTCACCAACTGTGAATAAAAAAGAATTTACATTTATTTACCAAACTATAATTATTAGCCAAGGATAATTCTAAATTTATTACAGTTAACTCTTTTCTTCATCCAAGAAATAAAACAAACCTAAATATCTTGATTTACAAAATGTAAATCCTACTTTTTGTGAGGGATTTTTGCACAATCCAATCTTCTAGTTGAACAAACAGATAATTTAGTTTGCAAATGTACATGGAAATTTCACCACTTTTTGCTACAGACTTGTAATTTTAGTCACCCCTAATATAGTTATAAAATAATCACAGGAGGTGTGTTCCTGGATTAAGAATTAAAGGGGCCTTATGTAACATTTTTGCACAAAAATTAAAATATACTTTAATAGAGAAAAATGTAATTGTCATTAAATTTTACATCCACTTTTTAACAATGGCAATGACAATATACATCCACTTTTTAACATACAAGACAAGTACAATCATTTACATTTGTGATATTAGTGGTAGGTGCTACAACAGCCCACACAAGGACTTATTTTGGGGCACCACCACAAATTCTAGAATGTAAACAAACATGGGTAATGGTGTTAATATTTTGGCAACTTCCTGAATGGCATTTACTTGAATACAGTAGGGTTGGCTCATCTAACATCGTAAATAAATTGACTTTTTATATCAACCTATTATGTTGCATAATGCAGTTTCTGCTTAAAAAGAATATAAGGGATGGGAAGTACAGACCTCCCCTACTGTCTTGTCCTTGAGACTTCTGAGCCGTGTAATCTTGGTGAAGATGAGTGTCAGGATGGCCCCCAGTACTCTGATGCCGCTGCGGTAGGCAATGGCCCATGTTGCAACCCAACACAATGCTCTGAATAACATATATGTCCAGCATTTACGACGATCAACTTGAAAAGCAAATTTAAATTACATATTGACTTGTGACAATTTCTACATGCTATTCATAGGGCTATATATCAAAGACTGTATGGATATTAGAAACTCCTCCAATGATTGTGTAAGTTGATACCTAATATCTCATACTAGCCACCCACTTCTGTATTAGTTAGGTTAGCCTTACGAAAATGTAGTTGACATGTACTTACTTAAGTTAGTAGATGCCATACTTTGTACCCTGTACAACTGTTGCGCAATAAAGTTATCATATGTCGAGGTTTTATATCTCAGGGTTCCAATTTTCCTGTCAATCGTCAGTCAAAATCACCTACCACCCACCATGTAACAGAAGCAATTAGGACAAAAAGACAAACGCACAACTCAGCCAACACGTCCATACAAAGATTTAAAAAGAGAGTTGCCTAAGCGCCACACCAACTTAATTTTATGGATGATATCCACGCACACATTGATTTTCGCCTGTTCTCAAAAAAGAGAAAAGATCATGACGTCCTCTGAGGCTCTGGCCGGGCTCTAGGCCTGGGTAGTCTATGGTAGTTAGTGACAATACGGAGCCAGGCACCCAGGCTACCAAAGCTCCACGACTCAAGAACTCAGTACATACGTACAGTGCCGAATCATATTAAACTCCGCATAAAACCATCATGTGCCAGCATAAAACCAGCATACGTCGCTATGTACTGACGCAAATTCACAATACCAGCTTTGTATTCTTGTGGTTTAGTAGCATTTGTATTTTTGGCCGGAATTTTTTTTTATTCGCCCGCGCACACTAGTTTGGAGTCTTCAGAGGATGTCATCCATAAAATTAAGTCAATGTAGCCTAAATCACTAAAAAAAATCACAGTGTACAATGTACCTGGCTTCTTCAGTGACAAAAATGGCAATGACCAAGCCGATTCCCAGTGGCCAGTTTGTGTCCGGGGACTCGGTGTATCTCAAGAGGCTTCTGACCAAAAAAGCCTGAAAAAAGGAGAAAATAGATTATCATAAATCAAGCGATGTCAGTGATGTTGGGATATGACTTTCACATGTATCAATAGCTAATACTACACACATGTACATGTAAGCATAAGTATAATGTAAGGGATGGCCCTATCTAGCAATTTCTCTTTCAAAGTTTAATGTCATCTTCCAAGCATTGGTTGCTCTTGTTCTTTAGACTAGTTTATTACATCTGATAAGCTGTTTGATTAAAACAAAGCATATCATCCACACACTACATGTACTCACTCATACACACTATCAGATTTACTTTTTGCAGTGTTTGAAGTTTGTGATTGAAATAATCTGTAGTACAATATAAAATACAAAACACGTATTCATAGTGTCATGATTTTGTGTTAAGAGGCCATCATGACAACTGTGAAAATAAAGCCACTTCCTGCTGCGAAAGTAAGATATGTGCATTTTAATGTTACAGTAAATGAAGTGAAGGAAAATCTCACACAAATAATTGGTCATCTTTAAAAATCTTTACAAATCGTTACAAATTGGGTGGGTGTCACTGAAAGAAAGATGAAAATGTCCAGACTATGCATGATGTACAAAACGACTAATAAACTGTTGGACGTACCAACTACTAAGTATCCCAGAAAGAACAAGAAATAGCCAAGCCTTTAAATACTGAAGTTATCAATCAATTGATTGATGTGCTCAAAAACTCATTCTTTCCAGTAGACCTATATGGAATATGGTCAGAGTGGAACTCACTGTACATGCAGTACATGTCATTAAACAGCTTAAAACAATGTTTAGATAGAGTACTTAGGTTAGATGTTCAAGGGTTAGGTGTAGCAAGTCATTCAGTGTAATTTAGTCAGCTGCCACTGTGCCGCGTGCCGTTATAAAGCTTGAGTGTAACGCTGAAGGTTGGTTATACCAGCTATGCAGATACAGATTATACTATATTGTATAGATGAGGTGAATAAACTACATACTGGAAGAAGAAAGGTGCCTGCTGAAAAGATGAGGATAGCGAGTAGACTCATCAGCATCCTGGTCCTGGTGAACCTCCAGATGGTTCTGGGCAGCGACGCTTTCTCCATCCCCACCCTCTCAACCTCCTCCTGCCACAGCCTCTCAAATCTGGGGGAAAATGAAAGTTACATTTCAAACTAGAAGTAATCATTTGCAAAGCAAATGCATAATGCTTAGCTTGGCATATGGTCTGCTCTATTAATTGTGACTCAAACACGTTCATACATATGGTGTGATAGGAGGCTAAATCCCTCCTGCTACAAAGTTGCAACATGATGTAACCCAACACCAGTTACCATCATGGTGACAGATGTCTGGTTCAGGTAATTTATTTGTTTGGAAAAGAACAGGAAGAAACGGAGACAAAAAATATGTTTTTTTTAATATAGTTTAAATAGAGTTTGACTTGTTCCAACACAAGAGGGAGAACTCTTGTTGATTTGATTATATGGATGACATCCACGCGCGCATGAATTCTCGGCCGTTTCCAAAAAAAAAAAGTTTCCAACCACACTGTAAATTGTACAAAACAGTTGCAAAATGAGCAAATATATACCGAAAGTTGCAAAAAAAATATTTGAAAACGATTCCAACATCGTAGAATGCCAAAATCAAACAAAAAAACTAAAATGCAAAGAAATAAATTTAAAGAGTAGATTATTCACCATACCATACTCTGTGTCATTTGTTCGACCTTCATAACAACGTAGATTTCATGAAAGCAACTTTTTTTTTTTGCAAAACTTTTTTTTTATTTGCGCGCTCGCATCAGTTTTGGGGTTCCCAGAGGATGTCATCCATATAATCAAATCAACATGGCCTAAGTATAACAAAAATAATAAAATATTAGAAAAATAACATTTGCATATGCATGTAACCTCAACGTGTATGCAAATTTGTAGTCATATGTGTATATTTGTACTGTGTGTGTAATGTGGAATGAGCCCTGGAAGATTAGCCCTAACGTTCTAAAGGGTATCGTAATAAACTGAACTGAACTTAACTACATAATGTTTACCTTCGGATATGGTCTTCTCTGTTAATTCTGACTCAAACACACTGACATACATGTATATGGTGACAGGAGTCTAAATGCCTACTATGAAATTGCAACATTATGTAACCCAACACCAGTTACTATGGTGACAGACATCAACAAAAGAGGCCATTGGCCAGGTCAGAGGTTAGTGTTTGGAACAGAAGAAGAAGAAATGGAGCAAAAACAATATGTAAACATAAAAAGATTTCAAACCTCACTGGGAAGTAGAATGATATGGTTCATGTTAATGAACTACATACATCATAGAAATGATTTATTAACTCATATGACTGTACATGTATGATGTACTTACTCTGATACCAAACCATAGTTTATGTTTAATACCAAGATTACACAGTACACAATCCTGGGCACAATAATATCACTTTCAACACAATATAGTCTCATAATACAAAATGTATAAAATCTTTTGCTTAGAACACTTATAACGTTAAATTGACAGAGGGAAAGATGTTGTCAAATATATCAATGGCCATTATCAAACTTGCATTGACTGTAAATTGAAGTTGAACACAGCTAAGCTTGTCAAGTATGCCAGCATGATTTCAGTCATCAAATCTATGCGACGTTAACATCCATGATATACACTTCAGCACTAAGGACATGAAAAGGAAGAAACATACATGTACAGGTACATTTAAGACACGCTGTAACAAAAATACCGGCTCTTATAAATTGTCCTTTCCCTCATTTTGTGATAACTATAAATGACCACAGTCTATTCTCCCTGATTAGTTGGTTTATTAATTCTATGCTTTACTTACTATTTGTACTTGATTATTACACCATCCTTCTAACTCCGGAACCAAAACACACAAACCCCAGTGAACCAGCACCACCCATAACAATACTTCCATCCCAGAAATAATCACTTTAATTCAAAACTGCAGGGAAAGCTACTTATCTCTACTCTTACTGTACCTTTTATAATTGGGTTTTGCCGTGTCAAGTGGTGAATGTTGCCAGACGTTGTCCAGTGTCAGCTTGCCCTTGTTCGCCATTTTGATGAGCGGAGTCAGCCATGTGACGGTCATGAAGGACAGCAGACCTGCATCATCTAGTGGGTTCACTGACGGCTGCCTGTCAAATGGAACGGGTGAGAAAATTAAAAGCTGATAATAGCAATTCCCTTTCCTCACATGTCGGTCCTGAAAAAGAAAAGGGTTGGAAGTAGGGATTCACCTGTTCTTTATATCTTTATATCTATATATCTTTTTGGCGACTTCTCAGGGAGGAGCCTAATGGTACAGTATTGTGTGCAATTTGCAAGAATTCTAGGAATGGTACAGGCATTTGTCCACAGGCATGCGGAATGTCCACAGGCATGTCTCTGACCCACATCTATGCCCACATTCCTGGAACCCTTGGGAAGACCTCTCTGCCTACTTTCTGTGACCCCGGGGCTTGTTCACTATACACTCAGGGGAGGAGTGCACTGTATCTGTCTAGACTTAACAGCTACCAAGGCTTCCTCAAAATCATGAAATGATGGCAGTGCCATGCAAACAATAACCCTGACAGCAATCATCGTCGCCATGGCAATGTATCTTTTCATTGCCAGTCTTGTTTGTTTTTGTTTTACATATTACTCAAGCTAATAAACTGATCCAACAAATCAGTATAACTATAACACTGAAATGCATGAGTAGTCTAGTATTTGAACTGAACTTGAACTGAACTTGAACTGAAACAGTTACATGTAGGTCTGGTTGTGATCATGATTTGGTCCAGTATACCAGTATGCACCACTATGTCAGATCGGTTGGTTGCATAATCAAAGACTTTTTTCCTAGGTCTAACACAGTGAAAAGAACATGTAGAGGCTGCCATGTAGAGACTGTATTGCAAAATATTATTACTGAACACGAAAGGCAATAAAATTATTTTCATGGTGATGACTGAATTTTTAGTTGTATATGTGGTGCTTTATTATGAATGTAAAAAAATATTTACAATGATTGCTAAAATTTTTCTTAACTAAAATGCAGTGGTTTAAAAGTCTAAAATTCATTGTTTGGACAAGAAACCAGCCTGATATGCTGACTTCATGGCTCCTATCATAACTTAGGCCTGTTTTCTTTTCGGCGTTAGGCCACACTGACTTAATTTTATGGATGACATCCGCTTGCGCATTGATTTCCACCTGTCCTTAAAAAAAAAAAAATCATGTTATCCTGGGAAGTCCATGGTAGCTTGCTATATAGCGACAATACGAAGCCGGTGGTAACTCTGGATGATGGCATCCAGGCTACCAAAGCTCCCATGCTATACTCAAGACCTTAGTAAATACCTACACTACAGTGTCGATTCATAAATTTTGCAAAAGCCAGCATGTGCCGGCTGTGTCGTAATATTATGTCGCTATGTTCTGCCACAAATCCACAATACCAGCTTTGCCTTTGTCTTCCTGTGGTTTAGTAGCGTTTATATTTTTGGCCGGATGTTTATTTCAGTCGCCCGCGCGCACTAGTTTGGGGGTCTTCAGTGGATGTCTTCCATAAAATTAAGGAGGTGTGAAAGTTCAAATTGTTTCTGAAAACCATTCAAAAACCTACAAATGAAATTGTCACGGCCTAAAAGATGATTTTGAAAGCGTACTCACTCTGGTTTTGATCTGATGGGTATAAACGTCTTGGTGCTTTCCTTGTACTTCCAAGACTTCTTGTTCATATCCCTGTAGTCCATGTCCACCTCCTCATACCCTGTGTCCCAGTAATCAAACCCGACTGCTTCATGATATGAAGAAGTCCGCCTGCCGCTGACATAGGTGTTCTCTTTCACCGCCTTCTGCTTGTTGTTGAACTTGAAGAAGTTCTCCTTGGCAGCTTTTTTCCTTGCCATTTTGCAATTTCGTTTCCAACTGTTTGTGGTATGTCCTATGTCCTAGTGCAGACTTCAACTTACTATTGCGCAACGAAGTGCAACGAAGAGCAACGAAGTGCAAAGTCCACAAGTCCATCTGAAAACATTCTAGGTCAGTCAAAATTCAAATTGACCTCCTTGGGGCGTGTACTTTAGCTTCAAAATCCATTAGCATTACACGTCACTTTTTGCTCAATTTGGCAAACGTACGAATTTGTACGTTTATCTAAAATACTAGTCGAAACACTAGTCGGCTTCAAATCCACGGGTCTAAAACTGCTATTGAAAAACAAAATCGAACGTAATTTTTTCACCACCTGCCCCCCACCCACCTCATATCTGTTTGGAATGTCCGTCGAGTGGGCCACCTGTAAGCTGAAGACACGCAAGTCTACTTCATGGAATTCAAGGGAAAATCATCCTTGTCATTTGACGCAAGGCGCTGCCAGGAACTTCTGAATCTAAATGTCTTGGCGCCGGTATTTCTCCATGCCAGAGTATCTGTGTGGCACGCGCGCCAAATGTCAAACAAGAGTTCAAAGGTTAAAGGTTACTTGGCACTGATTACCCAGTGAGTGTAAGGCTTTGGAGTAGTTATAGTACTGAGCTATGGCTATGTCATGTGTAAGGTTGAAGTAAAATTTACTGTTCTGCCCGTCTTTTTGTTGTCAATAACGACCACTAGTGCATATTCTAACCTTTTGGGTGTTTGAATTTAGTGTATACAGTCAAACCTGCCAAGGAGACCACCTCTTCAAGCAGACCACCTGTCCATAGTACTTAACTTATTTTTCTCGGTCCCAAAACTTTTCCCCATTGACACATTCAAGCATTAAGCAACCTGTCCAAGGTGACCACCTGGTCAACACGACCGCGACCACCCTGAGTTGGGTCCGTTCAAGGCCCGACACCTGTCCATGGTGACCACACCATTTTCGATCATGTTGATTATTGATGATAACTAAATGAGAAATCATGGAGAAACCAGCCAGTTTGCCTCGACTACTGGATGAAGTTTTTGTTTGGCGTTAATTATTCCATGTGCCACCCTCCCCAAATGCATTTACAGTATTTGACATTAGAACATCTTGACTTGGAAACCATTTATGCCTCAGTGATGTTGTAAGGAGACCACCTGTCCAATTGGCAATTTTTCTTTGGTGCCCTGGGTGGCCGGCTTAGACAGGTTTGACTGTACTTCATTTATATACTGATTAATTATGCAAATGACAGTTATATTAGCATAATATATGCATAGTGATGTTAAACTTTAAATAACTTACACATGTCACAAGGCATAAAATTACCATTATTCACCAATAAGGAATCACAGAATTTTCACATTAATTACACAAATTAGGTCATATTTTCCATGACTGATATCTATTGATGTTCCACCTGCCATAGATTAAATAGATTACATGTACAAAAAAACTGTTAATAAAACACTCTAATAATGGAAATTCCTCCCTATTATGCAAATTAGGTCTTTATTTGAATAATTTGCATCTGATTATGTACATCTCTCTCTCAGCTACCTACAGAGCAAAAATGATAAAATATGTTCTTCCTACTAGTATCTGGACTTCTCGGCTTTAAAAGATTTCGCCAGAAAGTCCCCTGTACATATAGTTCCAGAACAGGCTGCTAGGGGGACCAAACCCACACCAATCATTCCTTCCTGACAGAAAAAGCTATCTGTCACAAAAATCTCAAGACCATAGCATGTTCAGGACAGAAGATACAAAAACCGGAAGTTCTGCTGCAGTACCAAGGTCAGCCACTAGCAGGCCCATATTTGACCTTGACCTTTGCCTACCCATCACGTATCCACATACCAAATTTCATTTCAATCCATTCAAAGGATCAAAAGTTATGCTGGCCGCAAATGTCCGGAAACACAAACACACACACACACACACACAGACACGCCAAAAACAATACCTGACAAAACAAAACCTTTTTTTGATGGAGGTAAAAACCGGTGTTTTTTATCCAAAAAACGCTATGCAATTGCACACTGATATCTATGAGGCGAAAATGACATGTCACTGACGGAAAACGGTTGCTTCTTTTGTATCGTAGGATGGTTCTAGCTATGTATGGGAGTCCTAACATAAATTGTTTGTAGCCTATTTTAAAATACTGAAATACTGTGAAAAAATGCCAAAAATGTCCTAAAATTCTCAACTCAATCCAGGGTGCTAAGAATGTGCTCAAATGTGCGAAGAAATGGCAGTAAATGTCAACATCAGACAGATTTGCTCCTTTTTTTCCGTTTCGCTGCCCTGAAATCGCATTGAATACCTTCAAGTTCACAAAGTTCAAGAGTACTAAGGTTGAAATTCCGAGCTTTTCATGCCTCTGGCTGTTACCACGACCGCAATTCTCCGAAGCCAATTTGGCGTCAGTCCACCTGAAAGACCTGCAGCCCATCCCTCCAATTTTGACTCCCCACACCCATAATTTTCGACAAAGCAATCAGAGACAACTTGGCGGCCCGCCTAGGTTCTTCTTGTTGACTGCATATCCATGACTTAAGCTACTCAACCACACTTCCTTCTAAATCGGCTTCTTTTCGTCCCATTGTATTAAAGTCTGTGTACACATGATATCGAGAGAACCACATAAGAAACTCAAGTGTCTCTGGTATACCTGGTGTACTATGCCTCATATGTTAAGTTTAAGTCAGAATATACATTGTCTGGTGTTTACATCAGCCCCCAACCCCTTATAGACGACCCCCCCTAAAAAACACTGTATCCCAACACGAAGCCACTGTGACACATTCAGAACCTTCCCCCGAGGACCATCCGACAAAAGTTGGCTGTAATTTGACACTAGAGCATATTTAGGCCACGGCTATCCTTCCGAACACCAGACAACCAACCAACAACCATGGTCGAAACTCCCGTACACACTCGAATGTTTTAAACATTTGGAGCATTCTGTATCTGTATCTGTATAGCCGGTATAACCACCTTTCGGCGTAACACACCAACTTGAAGGTCAGGAGCAAGGTCGACTGGTGTTTGGCAAGGTCAGCATTCGACTGGCGCAGCCGAACATGTTAACAGTAGCCGACCTCGCCAAAGACCAGTCGACCTTCCTCCTGACCTACTCCTAACCCGTGAGTGGTTGAGAGGAGTTCAGTAGTTGGTTCTGTGTAGGCCATATTCGACTATGTGTGACAGGAGCTTCACTACCCCCCACCCCAAATCCCTGCATCGCAACATTACACAGACAAGTTCGTAACGCACTCAGGCAGAATGAAGCCGTACAAGGTGTGTCGCCTCAGGCATTACCTAAGCTGGGAGTGATGCAGCGGGTGTGATCTATTGTTCCAAAATCAGGGAGTGGAGCCTATAGTGCACATAAAGGTGAACTTGCATTGTGAACCAGACGTGTTTGTTTTAGCACCAGCAGACTAGACGCAACGTTAACCCACGAAGATGTCCGGCCTGATGCCGTCACAGCTTGTACAGAATGTACACGCCTGCCACCGACCCCCCAGTCGTCAGGAGTATATCATGGTAGGCAATATTTCTCCGTTTCCATGCCAAGACAGTCACACTTACTACTAGCCACCACTCGGACCTTCTATAAAGGTCCGAGAATGAATAGTGTTTGGCAAAAATAGGGTGGATGATTTTCATGTTTGTTCTTCACTACGGTAGTCTCAATGGCATGAGCCCAACTATGGTTAAGAGAAGGTCGGTAGCAAGGTCGGCTACTAGCTGCTACTCCAGCTGAATTGTTTAAAACCACCTGTTTAAAACATTCGGCTGTGGACGAAAGGTTCAGCCATGGTTGTGTGGTGTTCGGGAGTAGGTCGGCAGTGTTTGGCTAAAGTTTAACTCAAACTCGATTCAATTCGTAGAGAAAGGTGGCCGTGGCATATACTAGTCTGGTAAGACGCCTCACGAACTTCTGCCAACCTTGGTTGATTGCAGTCTGGTATCAAGTTTATCGTGACTGGAGCGGGCTACCTTCGGGGCTCTATGAATAGTTTTCCCCCGCCCAGCTCAACTGGCCGCCCGGTGGGAGTGTTACGGGCGGTGTTACACTCCCACTGGGCACACACGGTGTAATGTGTCGGGCGGGGAAAAGCTGCTGCAGACCCAAAGAGATCCCACCCAAAGCACGATAGACTCAGGACACCAGGCTAGGTTGATTGGTGGTCAGGAGAAGGTTCTGAATGTGTAACAGGGGCTTCATATAAGCCAGACAAGAGTGTAAACCGTCTAGCCTTTCTCACATTGAAAGGTCAATTCGGTTACGGCTGGATGAGCAAATAGCTTCAAATTCAAGGTAAACAACTAAAGATACTTACTAATAGCAAATCCAGCTCGTTGGTTCGTTCTGTTCTTTCCAAATCAGCATAGTAGCTTTTTAATAGAAGTGACTAATTTCCAAGCAGATTTCCGCTGGCTCTGACACAACGGGGGTATGTTTAGATTGCACTATTTCTGTATCCGCATGATTAGAAAGAGACAGACACAGCACGAAAACAGATATTTAAGCAAACTTTCCGCAATATGTAAAGAGGTATTAAAGGTGGAAAAATATTTAAGTTGACTTTACGCTTCGTAAAGGTTGCTGAAAGGTAAATTCCGCCTTTCCGCCACCTTTCAGCGCGCTTAAATACGACGTAAATATATAAAGACATTTAAGCAAACTTTTCGCATATGTAAAGAAGTATTAAAGGTGGGAAATATTTCAGTTGACTTTACGACTTCGTAAAGGCCTCTGAAAGGCAAATGTTCCGTTTCGTAGCTTGTTTTTTTAACGTCTAAACATGTTCCAAATGGCAAATAGATAAACGAGTTTATCGCCCAGCCGCCTTCGCACTTTCATTTTGCTTTATTTGTGAAGCATGACAAAACTTACATTGCTTTTATGTCCTTCGCGTGAACTTACAAAGTATCCATATGCAGACACCCAATGAGGAACGTGTCATGTGATAGGGCGGTACCCAATGGGATACAAGACAGCGAGGTTCAAATCTACAGGACTCAACTCATTTTTATGGCGTCTATTTCGAAGACACGTCGACCCTCCTTCTAATTGAGACATTATGACTGAA